TGAGTTTAGATGCATCTTTAAACTAACAATGGCTCCTCTCACTTGCCATGCCGACTACGATGCTGGGGAAACGTTTGGGACTGTACTCAGCCAACGGTCCAATGCTGGAAATGAAAAATACTATAGAAGGGGACTAGGGACTGGGTACGTTTCTCAAAGCCCCTCTGACGCTCTGACCAAGTTGCGAGAACAAGGTCGAGCCAACACTCTTAAGCTAACGTTGTTGGGGCGACTTTCATTTCGTATGCAAGCGCAGGATGAAGATATTTGAATGTCGATCTCACCAGAATACGACGGCGGATTTCCGTTTTAATGAACCCTTTTTAACTTTAATAAGACGTTCTTTTTGACGCAGTCCATGAGACAATTTCCCTCGTTTCGGGTGAAAAGGGATTAAGCTTTAGTAAATCATATGATGTACATCAACAGAGCTGGAACAAATTCTCGTAAGGGTCTTAAGTTTACACCCCTACATGAATGATTTCTAGCTCCGATGGACGAAAGCTTAGCCCGGTTTCACTCGAGACGAGGGAAATTGTCTCTTGGATTACGTCAACATAAACGTCGTATTTAAACCAAACGGCTGCAAAACAACGCGATTTGGCAGTCGTATTCTGGTGGGATCAACCAACGATTCTCTTTATCATCAACTTTCATACGAAATGAAAGTCTCCTAAACAAGTTTCAAGTTAACATTACATATATATATATATATTCTAAGGAGCTATTTGGTAGGCAAGGCTAAATCAGTCTTAAGCTGATGTGAATTTGCCAGCGCAGCTGAGGATCCAAACAAAGTGAGCGCACACACGCATTATGGATGTTTTACGTTTATAAATAAGTTTTCAATATTATTAGTAGATCATATAAATTGCATACATACATACTAGTTCGTTTAGGGTGATGAGGGATTGGTAGCTTGACAGAAGCTATTCTCATCACGAAAACCTACTCAAGACGAAAAATATATGCAGGTACCAAGTACACGGTCCGACTCTGGCAGAAGATTTCGGAAAAAAAATCGTGGTTGCAAAATGGGGGTCAAACCATTCACCTAACCTTGCCTCCTAAACGCTTTCTCATGCAAATTGGACTGCAGTTTTGACCTCAAGCAATCAAGGATGGCAGAATTTCTTATTCAAGATCAACAGATAGTCATGAAGCATACCCATCAAGTATACTAGTCTGGTTGTATGGACATCGTTTCGACAAATTTTAACTAATATTAGTATATATGAGATGTTTTCACCCTATCTCGTTTAAGGTGATAAAAGAATAGTAGTTGAATTTTCCCACAATGATATGAATAGACTTTAGGTTTCCACTGAATTTCATATAGATCTTACCAACACCCCCAGCGGGACTCGAATCATGACGGTGCAGTGTATACTCTCTACACTTTAACCGCTACCCCAGACTACCATGAGTGGCCTTGGGACACAGGGTAGATGCGAATTTCAAAGAAGACCAGGTATTTTCCCATATCACATTCTCTGGTGGGATTTTCAGTGGGGCAAACTTATGTATGCTATACCAATCAACGACATTACTCAAAATTAATAATATTATCATAATTCAAATTGCCCTTCCGAAATATGTTTGTTGAGATTCAGACCTTTTATCCTTATTTTATATATACGTGAATATGTTTTTCCCGGTTTGAACAGTTAATTAATGTTAACCAAGTTGTATTCACGTGTGTGTGGGTGAATGGATTGGTGAGATTGTGGGCGATTGTTAGCGTTTGAGTAAGCATATGTGTTCAGGAGGATGGGAAAATTTTGACCAGAGTCGTTTCATCCTGCCGAGCTGGTGTGATAATGGATAGATAAATGATTGTTTGTGTAGATGAATCGCGCCGATGGCAACCTGTCTAAACAGTGAAAAAAACTTTTTAAATATTGATGTATTCGAGTTGTACCTATCAAAAGTTTTTATATAAGAAGAATAGCTTGATTTCTATGAATCTCTACATATAAATTATCGTCCAACATAGGGTGAAATTGTTTTTACTTCAAAGCTAACTGAAGTTCACATCAACTTGAATCTCGCCTACACTCCAGAGGGATTCCAACGTGGAAAAGGCTAACACACAGACAGATAATTCCCACTCACTTTCTTACACACATTCTTCCTGTTCAAGAAGTTTGCTGCTGTGCTTATCCCTAATCTCACGCCTTGATGCCTAGTCCCGGTAGCTTATATGACGCTGAGTTGAACTATTCTATTTCATTTCTTGTATTAGCCATCTGCTCAGCAAGTTTGCATTTTTCGGTCCTTATGCCTTTAAAGGCTGTTTTGTGTTCAGCTAATCTCTTCTGAATGAGTCGGAAGGTCTTCCACACATAAGCACGAATCCCTGTAGCATCCGATTAAGAGAAAAGGAGCGAAACTTCACGAAAAGGGGTAACATTATTCTGTTCTCACACTTGCCTAGTAGTTCACCCAACTTTCTCGTAAGCTGAAAGGATGGCATAATCACTAACCGAGTAAACATGTCTTTTTGCCTATCCCGCCATAAATAGTAATTTTCCCTTATTTTCTTTATGAGTATTCAAAAGTAATTAACTACTATTCGTAATAAATTATTGTTTTCAACTTTATATACATTAATAATTTAGTAACTTTACTAAGTTAAAAAATATTATATATAAAATTTTTCATTTATAAGTAGGGTTTCGAGTCTGCCAGTATTATGTATTATTTAAGTAGTCTCCGTCCAAGAAATCTGTAAATTGAGTAATATATTAATTCGCAATAATTATCCATTACGAGTAATTGGCCATAGTATTAACTCGAAACTTTTACTAGAATGAGTTGCAACTCTGATTATGCCCATCATATGATCGAAGAAAGCTCAGCCCATTTTCAATCTAAATGAGGGAGAAAGTCTCGTGGACTACGTCGACCTGAACGTCGTATAAAAGCTGCAATACGAAGGAATTCGACCGTCCTCTTCTGGTGAGATCAACCCACGAATCTTATCTTCATCCACTTTCATACGAGATGAAAGTCCCTCGGCAATGTTATCTCAGGAGATTAATCGAAACCCAGTTAATCTTTGTATCTTGAATTTATGTGCATAGGTGTAGCGCAGATGTATGCTGTGATGTGATGTGGAGTTGTGTAGCAGTGGTAGGGTACAATGGTATGCAGCGTCGTGACTCCGAGTAAAACTCTCTTCTCCACATTTCCATTCGGTTGGTATCACGCAAACCAGTCTCTACTTCAAGGAGAGGATGTGTTGCTGTATCTAGTGTATGCGGACGGAAAACCGAGTGTACAGGATACAGATACTGCCCGACAGACAAGAGTTATGCTGGATCGTCAGATGGTGGGTGGGATTCCGGTTGAAAATGCCAACTTGATGAACGACCGGAATTCGGTACCAATCCACACTTGAACAGCCTGGCTTGGGCGAACGGCTAAACAGTAAACCACGACGTTTCTATGCTCCCCACAAAACAAACCGACCAAACGCGATTGTGATTCTTCTAAAAAAACACTTTTTACAACAGG